TACATATTATTTTATTTATCCATGTCATCATTATTTCTAGTTAGATGATCTATGTTATTATTTTTTTCCAGTTAGATTATACATGTCATCAAAAAAATATAAAAAATACCACATGAATGAAGTTAACGGTTTAAACTGATGAAAGTATCAAATTGTGTAGTTGTTAAAGTTAAAGGATAAAAAAAGTGCAAAAAATAGTTTAAGGACCAAACAAGTACAAAAAATAGTTTAAAGACCAAAAAAGTATAGTTAATAAAGTTGAAGGATAAGAAAGTGCAATTTAATGAAGTTAAGGGACAAAAAGTGAAATTTAATGAAGTTGAGAGACAAAAAATGCAACTTAATGAAGTTGAGGGACCAAAATTAGAATTTAATCAATTTTTTCAAGTGGCGGGTGTGAAGTGTGACGGAACATTAACGGAATAGTAGGAGATTTGACGGAAGTTAGTTTTCCATCCAATTGGGACCTTATTTGAGAATTCGTGGAGTTCGGGACCTTCATTGAGTGCAATCGAAGTTGGGTTCGAAATTACGAATTTGGTGTAAGTTCGGGTCCTTATGTCATATTTTTGCCGCCTTTTATCAGTTGGTGGCACAAGGATTGGTGGGCTTTTGAGGTATTCTTTGATTTTGTCAAAGGCTTGTTGGCATTGGTCATTCCAGGTATAAGGGTTGTCTTTTCTAAGGAGTTTGAAAATAGGCTCACAAATGGTGGTGAGGTTGGCAATGAAATGGGCAATGCAATTAATTCTTCCCAAGAAACCTCGGACTTCTTTTTGGGTTTTTGGTGGTGGCATTTCATCAATGGTTTTTATTTTGGCTAGATCAATCTTTATTCCTCGACGGCTCACAATGAAGCCAAGTAGCTTTCCGGAATCCACATCAAAAGTACGTTTGGCAGGATTAAGTCTCAGTTGGTATTTTCTAAGACGTTCAAACACCTTCTTGAGATTTTTTGTATGTAGCACCTCTTCTTTGGATATAGTCACCATGTCATCAACATATAGCTCAACAATGGTATGCACAAAGTCATGTAGTAAAGTAATCACAGAGTGTTGGTATGTTGCCCCAACATTCTTGAGTCCAAAAGGCATAACTTTGTAGCAAAAGGTACCTCACTGAGTGATGAATGTTGTCTTGAGCTTGTCCTCCTCCTTCATTTTTATCTGATTATACCTAGAGTAGCCATCAACAAAAGAAAACCTAGTATTTTTAGCAGCATTATCTAGCAAAATTTAGATGTGAGGTAATGGGAAATCATCCTTAGGGCTTGCTTTGTTCAAGTCTCTATAATCCACACAAACTCTAACTCAGCCATCCTTTTTCATTACAGGAACAATATTGGCCACCCATCCCGGATACATAGCTACTTCAATGAAATTGACATCTAGCAGCTTTTGCACTTCTTCTTTGACCTTCAATAGAATCTCTGGCTTCATCCTTCTTAGCTTTTGCTTGATTGGCTTGGCCTCAGAATAGAGTGGGATGGCGTGAACAACAATATCAGGATCAAGTCTTGGCATGTCCTTATAGGACCAAGCAAAAACATCTTGAAATTCAGATAAGAGTTCTATCAACCTTTTTCTCTCCTTTGTGGATAGGTGGGTATTGATTTTTATCTCCTTTCTGTCATCTTCAGTACCCAAATTAATAGTCTTAGTCTCTTGATTTGGCTACAGCTTTGGTTTTTCTTCTCTTAGCATTTGAGTTAGTTCATGAGAAGGATCAAAATTTTCATTGTCTTCTTCACTATAGGTCTGATCATCAATCTCATATATAAAGTTTGATATGGCATCATTGTTTAAAGATTCATCATTAGCAGGCCTGAAAATTTGGGATGGAAGTAAATAAATGACCAAATCATAATGAAGCAAAGATAAGAACATGTTAAAACATATCATTAAAAAGTGGCTTGTACAATGAAAGTTCAAGTAAGGTTGCATCACAATGATTTTTTACAATGATAGGATAGGATTGCAACATGTTTTATTGAAAAGGAAAGCATGGGAATACTAGAGGCATGATAACATAAATTTCAGAAAATAGAAAAGTGCTTGCTGAATCCTTCCCTTCATGTAGTCACAAGCAGAACTACTAGAGGCTAACTCTTCTTACTCAGAGATGAAAGCTACAGAGAGAAGCTCCGCTGTCAAATTAGCTTGAGAGCTTCCATTAACCGAAGAAATTCCCCTATCAAATTAAAGTTCTTCCTCATCTAGAGCATTTATAGTCAAATTTCCCCATGAGTCACATAGCGATTCTTCTTTCATTGTTTCAAGTAGCACAGACTCATGTGATCCCATTGGAGCTTTCACATGATGAACAAGATGGAAGTTGGGGGTGCTTCTCCATGAATGCCTTTTCAGCGAGCATCTTTCTCCACCTCTCCTTAGGATCTGTCATTTTGGCTAGCCCAAAGAGGTTGTTGAAACCAAAAATGTCTTCCTCGTCATCAAAACAAACTTCATCCGTGATATCTTCCACAACTACTTCCTCAAACTTTGCTTGTTTTGAACATTCACAGATTTCAAGCAATCTATCAGTGAAAATAGTACCCTTTGGATCTACATATAAGACATCCATGTGCTTCACCATATATCCATCAGGAGAAGGGCACAAAATCTCAAGAGTTTGTGGAAATGTGACTCTAATGTGCGTCACCCACATTGGTTCATCCCTAGGATTTCTCCTTTGAAGTCTAGCAAGGCGCTTCTCTGCTTTAATAGCATGCATTCTTTTCCAATCTTCCTTCTTCGGCTTGTATCCCAAGCCAAAAGTGCCCCAAGCTTGAATTACCTCAATAGGCTCAAGAATTCCTTGTCCATTCAATCCCAAACCCTTTCCCAACTGGTAAAGACATGCAAGCATGATCTTAGCAGCAACCCTAGCAAGTTTAACCATTTCAGCCAGTTTCCCTCTGAACTTTGGATGTATATACGAAGCAGCACACTCCATTGAGTGATAAGAGTATTCATAAGTTCCAAGATCAATTCCTATGTAAGGAATGGTTATAGCCTTTTGGATGACGTGTTCCTCCTCACCACTCACGATGACAAGAACACCATTGACAATGCATTTGACTTTTTGATGCAAGGTGGATGGTACTGCTCCGGCAACATGTATCCAAGGCCTCCCAAGAAGCATATTAAAAGCAAGAGAAATGTCCATAACAAAGAAATCCACATCAAAAGTCACAGGGCCAATTTCCACTAGAAGCTCAATCTTTCCAACCACATTCCTCTTTGTTCCGTCAAAAGCATGAACCATTGTATTGCACTAATTAATGTGAGACTCATCCACTTTCAACTGCTTCAAAACAGTTATAGGAATCACAGTCAAAGCTGACCCATTGTCGATCAACACATAAGGCACATTCATCATCTTACATTGGACTAAAATATGGAGTGCTTTAGTATGTCCATTTCCTTCATCGGGAATCTCATCATCAGTGAAATTAATATAATTTGGAGCTAAAATTGCCCCAACCATAGTCCCAAACTTCTGAGTATCAATGTTTTTAGGCACATTGGCCTCTTTCAAGACTTTGAGTAATGTGTCAAGATGAACCTCAGATGATAGCATCAATTCTAAAATAGAAATTTTTGCAAGGGTTTTGTTGAGCTATTCAATGATGCTATACTCACTCTTCCTTAAAATATTCAAAAATTCTACAACTTCATTTTCTGACACTAGCTTCTTGGGTGATTCTTCTGGCATCTCTTCGATTCTAATGCCTTTTGATTTCAAGGCAGCCCTTCTCGATTATTCCACTTCGAAATTCAAATAGCATCGACCACTACGGGTCATGTTAGACGCATCATTGGCTGTGGAATTCAAGATGGTAGAACGTTGAGGCATAACCACAGATGATGTCTTTCCTATGAGTGACTCACTAAGAGAGGTCTTCAAGACATAAGGTTGTTGGAAATTTTGGCTGATGGCTGGTGCCCTTTTAGTATCTTGCAAAATGTAAGGCCTCTCCTTAGTGAAGTATTCTTCCGTCACTGGTGCTATGAATTTCTCTAACTTTGGAGCAGACATGAACTTCAGAGATCCCATTCTTTGTAGCTTCATAATTTTTCTTTGAATATCTCCACAATTTTGCAAAGTATGCCCCTTCATATTGGAGTGATACAGACACACCAAAGCATCATCAATGATAATTGGAAAAGCATTGAAATTTGTGGTTCAATTGGCTGAATCAAATCATACTCTATCAAAATGAAAAACAATTCATCCAAAGACCAAGAACTGGTACTTTCCAACACCGACTTTTCAACTCCATTAAAAGTGATCATATTCATTGTGCCTGCATCATGTGGAGGTAAAGGGTTTTAAGTGATGTTTGGAACACCCTTGGCTTCTTTGACATCAAGTTGAAGTTTACCCTCATCGATGAGATCTTGAATTCTATGTCTCACAGCTGCACAATTCTCAATGCCATGACCACCACATTGTGATATTCACACCTAGCCTGTGCATCATACCAATACGGATAAGGTGGTTGGATAGGGTTTACTTGCAATGTCTTTATTAGACCAACTTCAACTAATTGTTTCAACACCTCACTATAAGGGATTGGAAGTTTAGTGAATTGTCTAGGCTGATTTGTAGGTGGGAATTGTTATCTAACCGGAGCTTGAGCATTAAAATTTGGTCTTCTTTGAGAGTAGGGGGTAGGCCTAAAGGTTGAACTGTATTGTGATTGAGGCTGCCGATTGTAAGGACCATTTGCCACACTATAAACTGGTTTAGCATGATTGGTGAAAATGTGACTCAAACCTTCCTCATCTTCTTTCTTCTCTTTAGGTGAAAACCTTTTCGAAGTAGATCTTGAGCTTCCCATCTTGACTTGCTCTAATTGCCTCTGAATGGTTTAAAAGTCCATAATGATACCCGTCTTCAGTCCATCTACAATTTGTTCCCTCACTGTCACTAACTGAGCAAAAGTATATCCCACACAAGGAGCTAACCATGCACGAAAGGTCCTGGTAGTTGACTTGATAAAGAGAGCAAATTTCACTGTCAGTAAGAGGTGGAATGACTTTGGCTGCTTCAGATCTCCATCGTTGAGCAAATTCTTTGAAAGTCTCATTACCTTTCTTGGTGATTCTCTGCAAGCTATCCCTTATAGGGGCCAAACTCATATTATACTCATACTGCTTCATAAAAGCTTGAGAAACATCCTTGAAAGTGCGAATCTTCTTCTTGTCAAGTGTTGAAAACCAAACACTTGTTGGGCTTGAGAGACTGTCTTGAAAATAATGAATGAGCACTCTTTCATCATTAGCATAAGGTGCCATCTTCCTGGCATACATCTGCAAGTAGGCATAAGAACAACCTGAGCCATCATACTTGTCAAAATCTGGCTACTTGAACTTGAAATTTGTCTAAATTCCCGGATAGTAGCAAAGATCATCCAAGTCAATGGAACCATAAGCTTGTGGCCCTTGCATAGCCTTCAAAGCCTCTTTTAACTGTTATAGCTTGTGATCAACCTCTCTTGACATCCCATCCTCTAAAGTAGACCTCAACATCGCAACCGAGGGATTGGGTTGAATAGTTGGCACTTGTCCTATCAAAGGTGGTACATTAAGGGTAAGAGGTGTGGTTGTGGGCAACATAGGATTGTTCATCTCGAATGGTGGGTATAAGGCTTCAAAAGGCAGAGATGATATTTGTGGAGCATATGAAGATGACTCCCCCACTACAGGCTGATTCTCATAAATAGGTGGAAATTACAATTGTGTGACCATGAGATCCTTAGCACGATTAACTGGTGTGATGGTAGGGACAGGTGGAACTACTATTGTTGGTATTAAGGATGCAGGTGAAGGAACCGAACCAGTAGTCAAAGTGGACAAAGTGAGACTGATGGTCTGAAGAGTAGCAACCATAGTTTGCATTGTAGCTTCCAACTTATCAACCCTCTCATCCACTGCTGATTTTTCTAGATTAGTAGCAACATTTTCCTCGAACATTTTGATTTCTCTAGATCTGAGCAAATACAGAGAATGCTGCCTTTTGAAGAACTTTGGCCTCGGAGCTATGATTAGAAGACCTTTTTACCTAAGGCAAAAACATAAAGACAAAAAGGGAAAATTAGAAAACTAAAGAGATTTAGCCCTTTTGATTGGACCATGAGTTTCCCCTTTGAAGTTCCATATGGATTCCCACATCGGCGTTTCCATTCGGTATGAAGATATCCACTTGTATTACAATGAGTTGTGCTAAAACATGACCTTTCATTACTAGATAACCGCACTTTAAACAAAGTTAGCAAACAGTATAAAGTTGCATTCAAAGTGTTTACAAATCTTCATTACAGAACATAAACCCTAATACAGCCTTTTAAGCACATTGGACATGTCAATGATAAAGTCAAAGACTGGTTGGAAAAATCCCCTCTTAATGAGATGGGTCCTTTGAGTAATGTGGTGATGAGTCTCAGTCATTTTTCCCTCAAATTGAGTCACCAAAGCGGTTAGGTCGATGACAACTTCATGCAAGCCGGTGTCCTCTTCAACAAGAGCTTGGTACTTTTGCTTCTCAACTTGGAGTTGATAGCACATGTACTCCATGGTAATCTTGTAAAGATCATGGTTGATGGTCATGTCTTGTAGTTGCTCTCCTAATTGCTCATTGGCTTTGCGAAGGTGTTCATTGTCCTTAGTCAGTTGGTGCAAATAAGAGATGGTTTCTTCATTAAGCCTTTGAGTACGAGCAAAAAAATCCAACAAAGCCTTGTGTGCAGAAGGTTGTGTATGAGAATCCATATTTCTTTTCAGAGGTCACCGATGGTTCAATCAAAAGGGCTTGAGAACTAAACACGAGGTGGAAAAAATAAAGATATTAATAAGAAAATAATCATGTGTAATAAAATGCAAATGTGATATGAGGCTTGAGAATTTGTATCCTAATCATGGATTTTACTTCATCGGATATACTTTTGACAAGGAAGAAAGATTGCATTCATTCAAGCAAGTTTTCATTGACAAATCTGAATTTCTGATGTTTGTACAATAACTCCCAAGCAACCCATCTTTCCCCAAGCTCTTCAAGTTGTGCTCTCCTTCTCTCCTTGCTTTGACTACTTTACCGTTCATGACTCCTTTTTTAGAGCATCATAATCAAACAATAATTTGTTGTAAGCATTCCTCCACTTTATAACTTTTCCTTTCAACTCTTGCTGTTTAATTACTTTCTCCACAAGCTCTTTGTTCTCCTTTTCTTTTGCCTTAAGATCCGCCTTTACCTGTAGTAGCTTTTTCCGTTGTTCTTCGGCAAACTCCAAACTCCTCTTTTGCTTCCCACAAATTTCCTTGCTAGCAGCCAAATCCCTTTCTAAAGAGGCAATCTTGTCTTTCAATCCTACCACCTGTTGATCGGACAACCCCTTCCTTCTTTTAAGCAATTCATGATTAAGAGCTAACTTATCATATTTTTCTAGCAACTGACATCTTTGAGCATGGCTAAGTTCCAACTTAGCGGTTAAGCCCATGATGGTAGAGTTTTTCGTATTTATCACCTTCCATGGCAAAGAAAGCTTAGCTATCCAACTCGATCTCCATTGCTTATATTATGGTCTAGTCCCATTCTCTTTCTATATAAGTAGCATCCTACATTTCTCCCACATCTCATGTGCTTCGGATAAAATTGCTAAGGAAGACATGTAATCAAAGTGTGAATGCAATGTGTCATCAAGATAGGGAACGCTTTGTGCTTTTCCAAACTGACAAGATGCCAACTCTACTAAATTTGTAACCCCTACATGAACACCCAACAAAGGAATAGAGTGATGTCCTTCAGGTGGAGTAAGATAATGAGTAGCATTCCAAGTCGAGAGAACAAATTCGACATCATTAACAGTTGTTGCTAAAAGTGATCAATGTTGATCCTCCGTCTTTCTATCTTTCATAGGAACGTTGAATAAAGCTTCATATTGAGGACCCCTCAAGTGACCATGTGCCCATGCAATGAACAACTCGATGCAACCCGAGAAGCGACCGAATCTTTTAGCTCGAATTTCTTTCATAGACCATAAAGTTTCAGCTACCATTGTAGAAGCAAGATTAAATGCCAAAGTGTGCAACAATTGCTCAAATAAAGCTACCACCATAGGTGCAATGGTCTTGATATAGATAAGGAAGATCACCATGCCATAAACTCCCAATGCCAGAAAGTTGATTCTTTGAGAAGATGTCATGCCCTTCAATCTCTTTCCCAAAGCCATTAACATCGCATTTCAATCGAACCCATAGGAATCATCCCTAGTTGTCACCAATGGTTGTGAGAATTCAAATGGGAACCCCCACATAGCTTGCAACATTTCTTGAACTTTTGCTAGTGTGAACTTCAGATGTTGTGCTTGAGGAGTGAAGGTATAAGAATCCACCACAGGACTACACCGCAAGAAGTGATGATACTCATCAATGGTGGGCACCAACTCAAAGTGTGGGAACACAAAAGCTTGATATTGAGGGACATAAAATTTCAACATAGCTCGAAACAAGTTCCAATCTGGCACCACTAACAATAGATCCCCGATGCACCCAAATTGGACCTCAAAGTCATGCTTCTCTCTAGAGAACAACAAGCCATAAGCCTCTTTTAGCAGCTTCAAATTAGGTTTGAAGGTATTGATTGAAAAGATTGACTCCTTAGCCTTCTTAGCAGTAGAATGAAATGTGACATCTTCCCCAAGTCTCTTCCCTTGCCTAGTTGTATTCTCGGTAAAATCCATGTTTAATGCATGATTTTACCTAAACACATGGCTTAAAAGAGTTAAACATAAATCATACCCTCACATGCCATACCTCATTAAGTGTGCAAAAATAAGTTGCCATATGCGTAAACGAAGGTTAGCGAAGTAAAATGCCCCTTTTGTGCCTTAAACACGAGACGCCTAGCCTCACGGGTAGGATGTTAAGGGAAATATGTCCTCGGGTTGGTATCTCTTTAAAGCCAATACATGTTTTCCTAAAATGCATTAGGCCTTCTCAACCATTTATCCTTTTAGAATCAACAGGAGATATTTCCAAAAGCTAATACACAGAATGATATTACATCATCAAGTGTCGTATTAACTAATGGAAACAACCTAACGAGAACCGATCTTACTCCTCAAAGTGGGAAGAATTGCTTTTCCAAGCCATATTCATAATGATTCCAGACTAGAGGTTAGGTTCACCTCCGACACGGACCTAATGCAAGATGAGAGTGAGTGTGTGCAAAGGGGCATGACACTCCAATAACCTACACAATGGCAACCACAAAAATAGCAACATATATCCCACGATAAGCAGATAAAGCAAACAAGCAAATAAAACATGTAAAGCACTCAACAAATATATCACCCACAAACTTACTTACACAGCAAGAAAGGACTCACCTCGTACTCCCATGCCAAATGCAAAAAGTTAGTGTAACCACATACAAGCAAGTAGGCATGTAAGCATGATGCATGATGAATAAGCATGCTATATCAATGATGGATGAGCATGTGAAATGATATGATGCATGAACATGTAAGCAAGGTATGATGCATGTGAAGATGTAGCAAGGTAACTCCTCAAAGACAAAAGATCAAAGCAACCACTAAAACAATAACCAAATAAGCAACAAGCAACAAAGACAAAGACCAACAAAGACTCAACAAACAAAGAAAATCAAAAGCTGAAAAAAATCCCCAAAGTTAAATATTCACTCAACCCTCGTGAACCTAAAATATGGAAACCAGAGATTCTGGGTTCGGTCCCCAGTGGAGTTGCCAATCTGCTAACGATCACTTAAGATTTTTCAAAACAATGAAAAATTAAGTGTAAAAAATACAAAACAAAAGGGAGGCGCCACTCATTCAAATTATATGGTGGGACAAGTCACCTAAAACGGATTTGCGCAGAGATCGGGATTCGAGGGTTCGATTAGGAGTGAGGAAGGACATACGCGCACCTCACAATCCTCCATTTAAACACGGTTGCATACTTTAAAATTGGGGGTTTTAATTCAACTCATTTATTATATTTATGTTTGAGTCTTATTAAGCGAACTTAAAAAAAGAGATAAACCGAATCGGAACATTTTTTTTAATTTTTGGACTAAAATAGACAAAATCAGGAACATGAATGCACAATAAACACAAATAAAAATTAAAGGGACTAGTTTGATTAAATTCAAAACATGAAGGACTGACTTGATTAAATTCACAAACATAGAGAACTAATTTGAAAAGATTTAAAACTTAGGACTAAATTGCTTAATTATGAAAGTTTTGAATGAAATTTGAAATAAAGAAAGATAATTTTGACTTTGAGCAAGATTAAAGGAAATTAAAGGTTTAAATTAATTAACTATGATAATTAACTTAGTTGAATGATTAATTTAACATTAATTAAAATTAATTAAAATTAATTAATCACATTCATAAATCTTTAATCAAGATAATCAAGCAACATAATTATCTTAAATTAGGATCCATAAATATGATTAATTTATTTTAATTAAAGTTAATTAATTTTATTAATCATAAATTAAATTAATTATCTTAATTAATTAATCATTTTATTTATATCTTTTTTTTACCCTTTTCTTTTACCTTAATTAATTTTTCTTTTTGGGTCGGATCTACTGGGCCCGAAAACAAGACCCGTCAATCAAAACTAAGTAAAAATGGGATCAAACATGGAAAAAGAGACTTAAAGTTAGGGTTCTTCAATTTCAAAGAAAGAACACATTCATCATAAAAAAGAGGGCCAAATTCATCAACAGAAAACAGAACAAGCACATTCATCAGATAAAATGAACTGTGCGATCTTTAATTCGCTTTCATTCCAACCAAACATATAATAATTTAACATCCTAAACAAAGAGAACAGAATCATCAACATACAAAAGAAATAGACAAGCACGGTGGATTCTTTAAAGGAAAACAGGTCTGGATCTGATGGAAGGAACCCCACCCATGAGATCAAGCTTCCATCATCTCCTTCACCATTTCCTCTAAAAGAAATCCTCTGTTTCAAAAATGTACCTAAAGCAAAAACCCAGAAATATGACCTCTTCTTCTCGAAAGCCGTTGTTGCCCCCTTTCTTCTCCACTAAATCCCCTTCTATTGCTCTCAAAAACTTAGACGAAACTCCCCAACAAAGAGACCCAAAATCAACCAACAACCACCACCATTTCAAATCTAAAATCCTCTATTTATACCCACACAAGCAAAAGCAAAAAAAAAACAAAAAAAGAACTCCCTCCTCCTAATCTTCCGATATGCCCTTTCTCTTTCCACGATGAGGCCAAAATTGACCTCGCAGAACAGCGAAGAACACTGGTCTGCCATCATGCGCAGAGTCGGCTTTGCAGAAAGTAGGGGGTTATAGGAGGTGTGTAGGAGGCATGACTGCCAGTGTACAGAGTGCAGGCTTAGTGTAGCAAGCAAAAGGCAGAGGCGCGGGACAGCCAGCAGGGGCATAGAGGGGTTGTGCGATTGGGACACAGGCGGGGTAATGAGTGCATGATCGGCTGGCAATTGGTTCGGGGAGGAGGTGGGTGATGAGTGAAGATCTGGGCTTGGGCAGAGGAGGGGTGATGAGCAAGGTTGTCTAAATCCAGATTTTACCTAAAATCGTTTAGGTTAGGTGAAATCGGAATCGTAAATTCAAATCGATAAAATCGAGGTTTTATAAAATTTAATATAAATATATAATAAATTATATAAAATTAAAATTAAATAATAATAAATCAAATTTAAAATTAAAAACTTGAAATTAACTAATTAAAATTTAAATATCCAACAATACAAATAAATTAAATAAAAAAGATGATTTATATTTAGAATTTTAGATGATTAAATCAAATTTATTCTGAATTCTTGATTAAAATGTTGATTTGTGATTGGGTTGTGTTGGTTGTGTGGGTTGTGAGTTTTTAAAATGAAAAATGAACTTAATTTATGGATTATCAAGTCAAAACTCACTAATCCAATATGAGAAACCCAAAAGAAAATAAGTTAAAAGTTCGGCTGCCAAACATAAAGTAAAATCAAGATTTTACTTGATTTCACGGTAAAATTTAAATTTTACCGTTAAATCTTCAAATTTTATAAATTTTAGATTTTAATATAGATTTTATAGGTTGAAATCGAAAAATCATAAAATTTTAAGATTTAAATTTAAATTTTGACAACCATGCTGATGAGTGTAAATCTGGCTCAGGCAGAGGAGGGGTGATGAGTGCAAATCTGGCTCGGGCAGAGGAGGGTGCAGCTGCGTAGGGGGTTAGGGCGTGTAGGCGTGCATGTGGCTGCCGGCTAGTTTGTGCAGAGGGGGGTAGGGGCACAGGCTCGGTGATAGGGGGTAGGGCGCGGTGCAGGGCAGGTGCAGGCTAGGGGTCTAGGTAGCAAGTAGGGCTCGGGTAAGCCTAGCAAGGCCGGGCGCAGGAGCAGGTGCAGAGCAAGGGGGAAGAAGAAGGTTTGAGAGGAGAGAAAGGACGGGGACGTTTTCACCCCTTCTTCTTTTTTTTGGGTTTGGGTTAAATGGATTTTGGGTTTTGGTTTGGGTTTTTGGCTTATTTTGGGCCATTTGAGATGGGTTGGAATTGGGCCATTTAAGATGGGTTTAAGGTGTAAATGGGCGGGCTTTGGGTTAAACTTTAATGCATTTCACCCTTCAACTTTTCATCTCTTCAATTAAGTCCTTTCTTTCTTCTTCTCCCACTTTTCGCGAAGTTTCTTTTTACTTGCAAACCTAACAATGAAAGTAAAAATCGAATATATTAATTAGGTTAAAACCTCGATTCAATCCCTCAACTTTTATTTTTTAACTAAAATTACCCTCGAACTTCAAAAAGTACTAAAAAAATCCTTGAACTTCAATTTTTGAGACCAATTTCGTCCTTCTATCAGTTAAGTGTTGATGTGGCAAAATTTTTCGTTAAAAAATTCAATTTCTATTAATATTAAATATTACGTGAAAATAAAATAAGTGATATAATATTTTTTAATTATAAAATATTATGACATGGTAAATAAATATAATTTAATAAATAATTATTAAATAAAAATTTCTTTCCTTTCTTTTTTTCCTTCTCTTTCCTTTTCTCCTTCCCCCCTTTTCTCCTTCCCTTGCCTACTGGGTTTGAAGGAACCCAGGCGCGGGTTCCATCGAACCTAGGCTCTGGGTTCGAAGGAACCCAGGGCGCTTGGGTTCGTGTTCAAACCCAGGTGCGAGTTCCTCAAACCCAGGCGGCCTGGGTTCTTTTGAACCTAGCCCCTGGGTTCGATGGAACCCAAGCAGGTTTGACTCGAACCCAAGCACGGGTTCCTCTTCGAACCCAGGCGCGAGTTCCTCAAACCCAGGCGGCCTGGGTTCTTTTGAACCCAGCGCCTGGGTTCGATGGAACCCAAGCAGGTTTGACTCGAACCCAAGCGCGGGTTCCTCAAACCCAGGCGCCCTGGGTTCCTTCAAACTCAGCGCCTGAGTTCAATGGAACCCGTGGGCCCTAGGTTTGTGTTCGAACCCAGGTGCGGGTTCCTCAAACCAAGGCGCCCTGGGTTCGATGGAACCCAAGCGGGTTTGACTCGAACCCAGGCGCGAGTTCGACTCAAACCCAGGCGCGGGTTCAACCCCACTCGAACCCAGCGCTTGGGTTTTTTCTTCTATTTCTTTGTTCTTCTGTTTCTTTGTTGGCTGCAGTTATGTTTGGCTATCTTGATATAGGATTTGGAGTTTTGTGTGGCTTCTACTTGCTTGAATTTCAAGAGGGATGTTGTGTTTTTTGCATTTTCCTTTTCTTTTACAGGTTTGGTATAAGTTTGATTTGTTGAATCTTCACAGATCTGATATAAGTTTGCAGTGTAATTGATTTTTTGAATTGGTCGTTATTATTATGCGAGGAACCAAATTTGGGTTCCATTAGAAATGAGGTTTGGGGAAGAAGGAGATGGTGATTGGAGTGGTAAAGGATGACCGGAGCAATGAGGGATGATAGGTGCTGATTGGGTTGCAAGATGAAGAGGCATCTGAGGATAGAGGGAGACGAGAACGAAGTAGAAGGGTTGGAAGATGAAGATGGGGATATTTAAGGAATTTAAAATTTTTTAATATATAAATTAATTAAAATGACGTGGACAATAAAATTACTAAAGTAAATTAAATTATTTCCACGTAATTAAAGAATTCAACGAGAATTGATTTCGTGGCAACTTAACGTGCCATCTGGCACTTTCGTCGACGGAAGGACGAAATTGGTTCCAAAAATTGAAGTTCAAGGATTTTTTTAGTATTTTTTGAAGTTTGAGGGTAATTTTAGTTCAAAAATGAAAGTTGAGGGACTAAATCGGGGTTTTAACCTATTAATTAAGATAAAATCTAAAATAAAAATAAAATTTAAAAAATTTTGAGTTATGAGAGTATGCGCTGTTTTTTTCTGTAGGTGAGGCAGGGGCATGGCTGTAGCGTAGCGTGCGTAAGGCAAAGGCGCGGGATTGGGGCGCAGAGTGCAGTAGCAGCAACAGGGGCGTAGGCGGCAAGGGCAGGGGCACGGTGTAGAAGAGAGGGGGGTGTAGGAGGCATGCAAGGGCATGATTGCCGGTGTCCAGGGGGTATGATTGCAGGTGATCTGGGCGCAAAAGGCATGGGATCTGGGCGCAGAGAGCAGGGTTGGTGTAGAGCAAGGCTGGTTCGTGGGAGTGCAAGGCTGACGTAGAGGTGCAACAGCAAGGGATCTGGGCGCAGGGGGTACTGGTTCGGGAGAAGAAAGGGAGAAGGCCGAGGTGTGTGGGGAAGAAGAAGATTCTGGAGAGCAAAAGATCTAACCTTTTTTTTTTGGGTTAAATGTTTTTTTTTTTTTTGGTTTTTTTTTTTCTTGGTAATTGGGTTCTTGGGTAGTTTCGGTTTTGGGCTTGGGTTTTGGGTTTGGGTTAAATGGGTTTTGGGTTAAACTTTAACGCATTTCACCCGTCAACTTTTCATTTCTTCAATTGAGTCCCTTGTCTTAATTTCCTTCATCTCCTTTTTCCAATCTTCTTCGCAAAATCCCTCTTTTTTATTTTATGAACCTAACAAGTAAAACAAAGACAAAATATATTAGTTAAAATAAAAATAAAAATAAAATAAAATTCTACTAAAATTTGAGTTATGACAATATGCAATTGGATTACACTCGCATCAAACAATGGCTTTGGCCATTGTGTTTCTAATTGAGTACAAGAGTAATGCCCCATAATTTTTTTAATTTTAAATTTGTCCTTAATTGGTCTTAAATACTTAGAATGCAAAGTGATTAAGCAAAGTTGAGTTCCTTGGCTAGGAAATAATGAAATGTGAGTTTAGATGAGGCCATGGTATTATAGATTAATTTTTATAGTTATATAGTATTAATTATACCTTAAATTGGTTGAAAAGGTTTATTAATTAGTAAAGCATTTTGGTAATTTTACATATTAGAACTTATAAAATGACATATTATGACATAAAATATATTATAATATTCATTTATGCTCAAAATAGGTATTAAGTGGTTTGTTTTAGCCTAATTAAGCTTGAGTCAAAGCTTAGTTTAAGATAAGGTTTTCATTAATGTTAATTTTATACATATAGTCATTTAAACATATGAAAAAGGAGACGAAGAAAAGATAAACAAAAAAATTCTGGTTTTTGGAGATGGAGAACCTGCCACCTTCATGGATACTCTCCCTTTGAAGCTTTTCTCTTCCAACTTTCAATCTAAGGCAAAAGTGGGTGTTTTTCCAAGGTTTTCAATGTGTTAAAGCTACTTCTTGTAAATATTTTGCCTAGGAAGGTCTAGATTTAAGTTATTTCATTACCTAAATTTTAGAGTCTAAAATGAGTTTGCTTGGATTTTGTTGGATTTGACATATATAATGCTGCTAGCTCCAATCTATCTATTTATCATCTTTATTTTATGAATTGATAAGTGAATCTTAATTTAGTTCATATATCTCTAATTTTGAAGTTTATGGAATTTTAAATTGAAGTTGGAGATGAATATTGGCATTATATTTTAAGTTGGAATATGGTTTATATATTGCTTTTAAAGTGAATAAACAAGGAAAGAAGGAAGGAAGAAAAGGAGTATTGGAAGGAGGGGCCTTATCTCTTTCCCCCTTTCTCTCAATTCTCTATTCTTTCCTCTTTTCTACATAAATTATAGGCTTTTCGAGTTTTCCCTAAAAGTTTGATTTAATGCTAGTGTTGATTTAAACGCGATAAACCCTATTAATTGGATTATTGGAACTTAAAATGAGCTCTATAACATGTTGAAGATTATTCTGATAGAAATTGTCATGATGCTCATGTTTATATGCTATGTGGAGTTAAAATTGATGATGACAACTCAAGATAGAAGTACATATTTTGAAACCTTGGTGCTTAGTGGAGTTTGAATTTAGTTTGAGTAAATATGTATATTTTTACTATTTATAGATACTATTCATGAGTAATTTTTGAGTTTATTTCAGCTCATATGCTAATAATACATGTGTAAAGTTTTTATAGCAAGGTTTATCAACTTAAAAGGAGCCTTTACAAAGATGTTTTCTAAGTACATTTCACAACTTATGAATACTAATGATTTTGGTTTGAGCTGAATTTATAAAGTTTGTAAGGTATAACATTGATTTAATAATGTAATGAAGATACTTGGTGAATATGGTTATGCTAAGTAATTATTGTTTTTGATTAAAATATTCATTTTATGTACTTAGTGAATTCGTGATTTTTTAACATGATTATATTTTGTATCTTTAAAATAGTTAATTTGTGGGAAAGGGACATAACATATAGAAATTGAACTTATATTCAAAATGTGAATATTGTTGTACCATGCTTTGTGGTATATTATGTCATGGAGACTTAGCCCTAGTTTTGGGAAAATAGCCCATTTGAAGTATAATAAGATTCTTTGTGGATATTTTATCTTGAAGTGCCCTATGCATAGTAGGATGATGCATCCTAATGAATGATGTACCCTGTGATACCCCAAAAATTTTCTAGAATATTTAAGTGTAAGTTAAGGACTTTTGTGAGAGGAAATATTATGTCTGGGCTTAATAGACAAAATATCCAAAGTTGAGGGACTTAAAGAGGGAAATTTGGATAAGGACCAGCTTCTTTTCTTTTTCTTTTTTTTTTTTTCTTTCTTTCTTCCTTCTTCCCCAGCCATTTCGCGTTCTGCTCTTCTTTCTTCCCGCTGCAGCCACCCGAAAGAAAAAAAAAAGGAACCCAGCCATGCCTTGGAAAACCGGTGAGAAAGCTTGGTTTTTGGCCTTCTTTTCTTGCTCTAGAACACAAATTGAATCCAGAAATTCTCCCCCCTGCTGGAAAATCCGGATCTGCTTTGCTCTGTCCGCTGGCTACTCTTGTTGTGGGGGCGAATTGCTTTGATTTTCTGGTAAGAAACAGCCATGAATCTCCCTTCTCTAGCTTTAATTGCCTTGGGTTTACCTTAATTGCTCTTGGTTCCTTCAATTTTTGGTAGATTTCCCTTGAATTTCCCCCAAATTCCCGCCGGCTTCTTCTCCCCCGCCAGGCCCAGTGCTGCAGCTGGAAGTTCTGGTATGTTGACAGCCCCTCCAAGCTTGAAATTTCATCAATTGGTTGCTGAATTAGCCATCTAATTGCTACCTTGTGTGTCCCAATTTTGCTGGAAAAATGGGGGAATTCTGGTAGCTTTAGGATAAAGTTTAAACATTAATTCAAGTGGGATTTATGTGATTGAGTGTTAATTGCTTGCTGTGAATTTTTGGAGAGAAATCTCGTGAATTAGCCATGGTTTTGCCAATTTTGAAAGTGTAGTTACTGTTCATGGCACTGTTCACAGATTACAGTTCACACCGAGGGTCGACAATTAACGGGGATTTAAATGATTAGTTTGTGATATAAGAACGAATTTGGAGATATCTGATAATGTGGAGATTGATAAGAATAGCATCGCGATTAGGGATAGTCCTAATGAAGTTTCACTTTGAATTTGTGATAGTATAGAATTAATTCTTGGATATGTTGATTAGGTTGCTGATCGTTCTGTCAGTTTAGCACTGAGATCGAATCTTCAGTTTTATGCGAGTGAGGTAAGTAAATTTATGGTAATGCCCGTATAGTTTTTAAAAGCATGTTTTGACTTGTTTTTGAAGTGGTGGCGGGATTAAACTCGTTTAACACAAGTATGATCGATTGAAATGAAATTTTTATGCTTTTCATTAAATTGAGCATGCCTACTTGAAATTTAATTGATTGTCTTGATGATTTGAAAGTGATTGGTGAATTATGATTTTTTTGTTAACTTCTGCTTGTTTTGTCTCCGATATGGTTATGTTATTAATGATCCTGCTAGTGGGGGTTAAACGCTAGCACATGTCGACATGTTACTAATAGAACTGGTTCGTTTCTGTTATCCTGCTAGTGGGATTATACACTAGTAAATCGTGTGCCTGCCAGTGGGAGGTTTATAACACTGGCCGTGACCTATAGAGGAGACGTCTATTTCATCTCCGTACTCATATCCGTTTTTCGTGATTACACTTGTTGGCATGCTATAAGTTTAATTAAGGGCACTCCATATTTACTTACTGAGTTTATCTCATAGTTTTTCCTTGTCCACCATTTCAGGAAACGAAACCGAGGACGGGGAAACCATGGGAAGTGACGAGTTAGAAGGCTAGCCATTTCGAGATTGATATAGATTCTAGAAATAAATCATGATCTTGTAAACTATAGTGTATTTGGAGATTTTATGATATCAAAGCAGATTTTAAGATTTTATCTTCAAATTTTGTGGTATCAGATTTGAATTGATTAAGTTCCGAGCCTTGTGCATTCGTGGGACCTTCTCACGAGTGCATGGCGTCTGCCATGTCCCTGGATTTGGGTTCCAGGGCGTGACAGATTTAGTGGTATCAGAACTTAAGTTTAAATTAAGAGCTTAGGTTTAAATTAAGAGTTTAGGATTAAATTAAGCGCCTCCAGATTGAGTGGCATTAAAGCAGATTGAGTGGTATCGGAGCTTAAGTTTAATTAAATACCTAGGTTTAATTGAATACCTAGGATTTGTTTTGGATTTGGCTAGCCAATGGATTTAGAACCGTGGTGAGACGAGTGATGGGGTTATATAAGGGACGATTTTGATTCATATTGCCTGAATTTTCTAATCAATTTTGATGAGATGGCAATCTGATTGTTCTTGTTCCTGCCTTCATACCCTGTGTAGATTTATGAAATTAATCTTTTCCACCATGTTCTTAAGACCTTGTTTTGAAACTTGGTCATTTTCTAATAGTCTGCACTTGTTTAGACTTGTTACTTGAATAGAATTTTTATATGCTCTTTTGCCACCATTGTAAAATTTGGAGAGTTGCAGAGATCTTTTGTTATTGATCCTGTTGATCTCTACAGCACAGCTGGTTGAGAAATTTGTTCTATTTGTCACATGACCAATGGAAGATGGGCAAACCCTCAACCTTGTAAGAGATTCAAGGCTATTTTAGCAAATGTTGTGTGTTTTCTAAATGCATTTTAGGAGCTGGATAACTTGGTAATTCCGTTGCTCCTTACCTTCTGAAAGTCTTATAGTGAAGTTTCACTTTTTTCCATTTGGAGCTTCATGGTCTTTTCATGTGGCTCATTTTTCTATATTGGTTAATCAAAAACAATGATCAATTCAATTGAAATTGCCATGTTTTTGTGAAGATTGGCAAGTTGTCATAAAGTTAAACTCTCTATTGTTGCTAATCTCTACATTCTTGATACTTGGAAACTGCTTGAAACTCTTGAAATCCATCTCGAATCTTTCTTGAGATTGCTTTGTACTTGTTCTTGGAATTGAAATCCAAAGGAAATGGATAATGATTATTGAAATCCTCATTATCTTGATACTTGTCTGAAATTAATTCTTGCACTGTTTTGGGAATCTATTTTGAATTGTCATTGAAAACCATTCTTGTCCTGACCCTTGCTCTTGCTCAAATTCTGTATACTGCTCTTGCTCAAATCCAGCATATTCTGTTAGTTCTTGTTTTAGTATACTTGTTGATCTTGATTTTGATTTTGTTCATATGGACACCTCTTTAGGATGGGTGACGATTATCAAAAAATACCTATATGAGGCATCCTAAATTCCTGTCTTTTGCAAGTGTTAATCTTTATATCCTTGATGTCTTAGCTTTGACTTGACTCTAGGATGACTTGATTGTAAATCTGCTTAGCCTCCATAGGCTACGAGATGAAGGGGTAGTCTTTGAAGTACTTGATGCCCTAGAGTTTTGTTCCAAAAGAAATTGTTCTTTTATCTGGCTGCTTAGATTTTTGTTTGCCCTTTTAATTAGAAGACAATAATCTTCTAAGTATCCGATCCCCACTATTGATTTTTCTGTCAATTAATTCGTGTTACTTGGGGTGCTAGATCTTGACATCCTGGTTATATCTGCTCTTGAATCCTTGTTCCCATTGTCATTATTGAAATCTCTTTTGTGGGCCTAATCCTTGAATTCTATTGCTTGTTTCATGGTTAACTCTTGTTTCTCAATTTTGACTGCTTGGTTAGAGTGATCTTGATTCTTGGTAAATGCCGTTTTGTTGCTGAATTTTTGAGGCATTCTACCTTGCACTCTTATGTTCTAGTATTCTTCCAAGCATTCATATTTTTCCATTGATTTTATTCTAATGCTATTGTGGAAAATTTCACATGTCTTTTGGTGGGTCCAACTTTTAACTCTTGTTAATTGCTAAAATCTGTTTTTTGATTCCAGTTGTTTTGTTAAACATGATCTTACTTATTGGTAAATCTTGTTTTGTGGCAGAATTTATAAGGCATCCATGCACTTGTTCATTCCTTCATGATCCATATATCCATTGGATGCTTATCCGTCTTTGATAGAATTCAAAGTTTTATTGTACTCATTTTAAATCCATGCCATTCTTTGCCAACTTGTCTTGTGTTGGGTTCATAGCGTAACCCCATAAGTGTTCTTTTGTAGCCTTGGTAGGATTTATTTTTATTCCTTGTGCTTCCCATATTACCCCAGCCTCTAGTAGCTTGTTTCATGGTAAATCTTGATAAGTAGTTAATGTTCTGCTTATATGATTAGTTGTGATTTGTTATCAGAGTGGCGCAGCGGAAGCGTAGTAGGTTATGTTTTGTTCATAAAGAGTTGGTGAGACATTTGTTTTGTCTCGAATTGTGTGAAGCTATTCACTAGTCTAGATGATCTTCAATTTGAGTTTTGAGGACAAAACTCCTTTTTAGGAGGGGTGGATGTGATACCCAAAAAAATTTTCTAGAATATTTAAGTGTAAGTTAAGGACTTTTATGAGAGGAAATATTATTTCTGGGCTTAATGGCCAAAATATCTAAAGTTGAGGGACTTAAAGAGGGAAATTTGGATAAGGATCAGCTTCTTTTCTTTTTTTTTTTTTTTTTTCTTTCTTTCTTCCTTC